AAGAACTTAGTTAAATAATGATCTATTTGCAGAGATGACGGAGCACAAGATCAGAAAAGAAATGCTCAGATGCAAGAAGCTTGGAGAAGATGTCCATGAGTACATCAACTTCAGCAACTTAGATTAGACATCCTTTCAATCTTGTAATATCTTTTATTTATTTTCTTTTCTTGCAGTGTATAACCTTTATGTCTTAGGTTTATCAATGCTGATTATAATAACTTGTAATATTTTCCATTGAAAGATATTCAATAAAATTATCAGTTCACTGAAAAATATCCCTGAAAAGAGTAAATGAGACGTGTACTTAAGAGTTCTATCTATGTCTTACATACCCTGATACCTTTCTAGTCAGTGAATATGGTTTCAGTTTCAACCATTAATATTGTGCAAGTTTCTTCTTTCCTTGCAAATCTTTAAAGTAATTTTTCATAATAAACTGTATCACTGAAAAAGATCTCAAAACAGTTAAAAAGGACAAATATTTTACTAGTACATTTTCTTTACTGATTTAACTTAAGCAATTTTTTTTATGTTGCTTTGTCATCATCAAATCGGGGGGGATTATTGATCATATCTCTCAGTGATTTGATGATGATCCCTTTTACCTTACAAAGTATATTATCTCTGTATTCAATTTCAGCGATCATCAATGAGTCTGTTCAGTGATCACTGAACATGTATTGCAATTCATTCAGAGACCAATATCCTTCAAGAAGACAAAACTCACACCACATATCATTCAGCGATGTCGAAGACATAAGCTGAAGATTAGAGACAAGGAAGTTCGTGATCTGAAGCGGTTTTCAGTGATAACAAGCTCATCTACACAAGTGTGAAATCTATGCAAGATTAATCGAACACTGATGAGACCTTCAGCGTTATTCGAGTGTTCAGTGATTAAATGAATCTTGTTGACCAAGATAGTTTTTGTCTTATCTTTCTCCATACAAAGGACAAACCCGTATCTTTCAAAGTAAAGCATTGTACGGAGTCACTCCGTTGTCTCTAAACGTGCTTATTTACTTTATGAAAGAAGACTGTTTATATACGGCCTAAAGAGTGTATACTGCAACAAAGGACAAGCTTTCCTCTAAATGCTTGTCACGTGTTTTGAACCTTTTGAATTGCATTTAATGCAATGGGTATAAATAGCTGAGTAGTTCTCTCTTCTTAGTTACATCTTCCTCATCTTATCTTACCCAAGAAGATACTTCTTTCTACTCTCTATCTAAGAGAAAGACCCACTTTAACAAGTGAAGAGCACATTACTTCTTATCTTATTTTTTTGTAGCAAGTCTTTTTGCTATCTGTAATTTTGTGTGTATCTTTGATTGTTTAGATAGGTTATGTATCTTATCTCTTCCGCAAATAATCTATAAAAATCTGTATTGATCTTCTTTATCAATATATATATATATATATATATATTAAAGTGAAAGCTGATGTGTTTGTATTCACCCCTTGCTACAAACTGTTAATTATAAAGTTGAGACCAACATCAAGAACATACCAAAAAGTTCTTGATAAAAAAAAGGTTTTCTAAGCCATGCATGATCGGCTCTGATACCACTGATGGGATTTGTAGGAAACTTTAAAACAATATTATCAAAGATAGCAACGGAAGCATAAAATAAACCTACAATGATTTTCACAAAAACTCCCAACAAGGATCTCATGCATTAAAGAACTTAGAAAAATGAAAAACACAACCATAATGGGTTTTAGTACTACAATCTTTGAAGCTTGAATGTTGATGTCGGGCAGAGAAGAAAAACGAATCTTCCTCCAGAGTTGATCCACACTAAGCAACCTCCTTTTTGAATGCTAGTTCCTTGCAACCCAAACTAGTGTTTTTTTTATCTCTACCTTAGAAATAAAACCAAGTATGTATCTCCTCACTTTTTCTCTCAAGAACTCTTTCTCAAATGTTTTTAATACTTTGAATTTTAGAGAGAAAACTTAGAAAGAGTTAGGATAGTATGAGAATATGTATTCCCTCCCTTTTGTTGAAACACCACACATGCATATATATGATAGATTTAAAAGGAAGAAAAGAAGAAAGCATGGGAGGCCATATCTCCCAACATACTTCATAGTTCTTACATCCCATACCTTGTTCTCTTTTGTTTAATATTTTAAATGTCCTTTGAAGTATACTTGGAAGCAACCAATACACTTAAAAATCAACTAATAAACAACCTAAAACCAACAATAGTTTTATTAGTTAGTTATTAGTTATTTCATATAAATTTTATATCAAAATATAAAACATATATAATTAATGTCACACATAATAACCACAAGGATGGTGTCTGATTGGTTTGTGCTTGACTCCAAAGGTCAAAAATACCAGGAGGTCTCATGTTCAAATCTAAGGAGGAATAAAAATTTCCTTGTGGCCACGGAGGTTCAAATGCGGTGATTCCAGACTATCTGCAAAGTAATTGGTCGTTCTAGAATTAGTCGGCTCGCATAGCGGGTTGAATATCCAGGTTAATCAAAAAATATGTCACACATAACAAAATTAAGTGTACATATAAAACAATAATAATAATATGTATCAAATACATATTAGACTTAAAAACTAGTCAAAAAATATATAACATATATTTTATTATTATCAGAAATTATTATTTCAATTAACTAATAATTTGCATGACACTTTTTTGGATTAAAAATAATCAAATCACATTCGATCGCACGATTGATGTTAATTTGTTTATATGTGTGTGACCCTTTGGGATCGTGTATTATTAGCCGTATTGTCAAGTTCAGTGTCATGGACATATAGATCCAACAGATGCATCCTCTAATAATGTTGCGAATAGTCGCATTCTCAACATAGTTGCGTGTGACGGTCTAAAAGAGTTAGACGCTTTCTATTGCAACCATTTGTAATGTAGTTACATACGTGAGAGCCTCACCTTCCAGTTTGACGAGGTATCAAGGGTGTGTGAGAAGAAGTGCTTGTAAGGAGGAAAACACATTTCTTATCTTGGATGTTCCAACGAAGTGCAATTTGGTGTTTTTTATGTTGGATCTTGCAACAAAACATGTTGGTGCTTTAAAATTACTTAAAGAAGAAGATGGGTTTTATTTGCAAATACTTTAATGATGAAGATAAATAAGGGAGGAGGGTAGAGGATCACCCACTTCAAATGATGGGAGAATTTTGTGATATCTTGTAGGTTTTTGAAAGTATTTTATGAAGCTACACTCAAATTTAGTGCCTCTTTATCTGTTACTGCGAATGTTTGTTTTCAAGAAATGTGTACCATACATCGGAGAGCAATCAAATGGTGTTATAATGACAAGACCAATCTTAACGATTATGGCTTCTAAGAAGACGACCAATTTGACAAGTATTCAGTTATGTTAAGTCAGTGAAGAGATGTTTGTCAAAGCAAGTGGCACTCAAAGTAGGGCATCTACTCATGAAAAAAGTTCGATGGTGAATTGTTGAATCATGGATTCAGATGTTGATGATTCTTTTAACATGTTTCAAACTGAATTTGAAAAAAAGTGTCGTGAAGACAAGGCCACTCGTATAATGAGTTTGATAGATATTTGGCATAATGTGATGATGGGGAAAGGAGAAAAAGGACTTTGATATTTTAAAATGGTGGAAAATGTCTTCATCTTAAAATCGCAATAATGGCTCGTGATATTCTTGTCATTCAATTTTCAATTGTAGCAGGAGGGCAGGTGCTTATTCCCTTTGAAATTCTTTGAGTCCTACCATGGTGCAAGTGTTAATATGTAGTCAAAAGTAATTGAGATCTTCAACATTGACATTAGATATGTGCTCATGACTAGGGTAATGTTTGGTATGTAGATATGATTGGACATGACAGAACTGGACAATACAAAAGGGTAGGACTAGATTGGACTGGACATGACAGGACAAGTGTCTGTCGGGTGTGTGGTACGACTAGGGCTGAGAGGACAAAACTAGAAAATTTGCCTCCAAAAGTAATTTGATGATTTTATATATCATATAATAGTTATAATCAACACAAATAAAGTAAATGATTAAATAATTTAATTTATAAACAGTTTTACACAATTTATATATATATATATATATAAATACATACATATATAATAGTGGTGGTGGCGATGGGCGGTGGTAGTTGGTGGCCTACGGTGGTTGTGGAAGATGTAAAGATGGTGGATAGTGATGGTGGAGGACGTGAAGATGATGGTAGTGATAGTGGTGGTGGCAGTCGACAATGGTGGAGGTAGTTGTGGTCGATGTAATAGAGGTAGTGGTAGTGGTACACGTAGTAGAGGGTGGTGGTAGTCTTGGAGGAGGTGAGGTGGCCTATGGTGGTGATGGTGGTAGTGGGCAGTACCCGTGGTGGCCAAGGACGATGGTGGTCGGTGACTGACGGTGGTTGTGGAAGTGTGGGAGGGATTGTTCTAGTAGAGGATGAGGTGGAGGTGGCCAATGGCGGGTAGTGGTGGTGCCGATGGACGGTAGTGGCTATGGATAGTGGTGGTCGATGGCTGACGGTGGATGTGGAGGTGGCGATGAAGGATGGTGGTCAATGGTTGAGGATGGTTGTGGAGGTCGTGGAAGAGGTTGTTGTAGGGGAAGAGAAGGTAGAGGTGGCCAATGGTGGCTACCGGCGGCCCCGACTAGCTGTGGTGACCACTAAACAAATATCATATTAAGATTATATATCAAATGAGAGGAGATTAGCGGTATTTTAGTTTTTATCTCATTATTGTCCCATCTTGTTCCACGTATTTTGGCGGAACAAGAAAAACCGTTTTTGTCCTACGTTATCTCAGTTTCTGTCCCTGTCTCATGTCGCGCCAAACGTGAGACATCGAATTCTTGTCCTATCTCATGTCGCGTCAAACATGGGAATATGAATTTTATTCCGTCATGTCCTGTCTCATGTACCAAACGCAGCCCAGAAGATACATAAACATATCAATGTGTTAATTTATGTAAAATTACTTATTATTGTTAATTACACTAACATTATAAGTTAAACTACATATATGGCATTCAAGATGTTTCTGGTAATACATCAGCTAAGTGAACTTTGCATTTCCTTTCTAACGAGACAGACAATAACAACTATATATGCGATATATACCCCGACTCTTTCTCTATCTAAGTTACGAATGCGAATATAAAACCCTTTAGTTTTGCGACTGAACGGGTCCTTCTAATCGAATATAATCATACATAACTCCTCTAAAAGGACCCAAACCTCTCGTTTGTGTTAAAAACATAACATTCCTCCCAGCTCGAAGTTGAGAATGCATAACATTGATACTATATAACCAGTAGAGCCCATGAATCCCGTGTCGTGCAATCGCGTTATCCCTCCCGATTAGCCCCGTGGTAAAGAAAGGCGACATGCCTCTTGGGTCGTTAATCCGAACCTGAAAAACCACAAAGATAATAAGTTGAAATACGAGTGATTGGTGTTCCCATTGGGTGATGAGTTACGTACTTGAACTTCTGCAACATTCGCCGATGCCAATGCTAATCGTATTGTATAGTTTCCGGTGGTTACATCTTCAAGATCGAAGAGTACGCGCCATGTTGTTGGAAGGTATGTCTTGTTTCCGACGTTTCTATTGACATGAGCAAAGAACCAATCTATTTGATAATCGCTGGCACCAACTGTGTAAATCAAATCCCGATCAGGATACAGATCCGTATAACGATCCCACAACCCATATTGCCTGAACCTGAAGTAATGCAATCCCATAAGTGATCACATGAATATGTTTATACACTGGAAATGAAATTAGAGGTTGAGATAGATATAGAGAGGGGGCTAACGCTTCGGTTCTTTGAGTTGCGTATAACTGGTTCATGAGGGTTGGGTTTGGCTCAGGGACATAGAACTCGGCTGCTGTCCGATCTGGCACCCCAATCTCCCAAATCGTAGGCCCATTTCTTGGTGGTTCGTACACAAGTACACCCATTCTGATTCTACTTCCTGATAATAGTCCAAACCCTAGATCTTGATGATATTTCCTTATATATATGAACAAGATAATAGTTTATAGAATATGTACAAACCTTGCAAAACCTTGACAACACTGTGGTGCATGTAATCACCGATGTACCCTGGAACCCAAGCGTATAAGTTGTAGACACCCGGACGAACATTCTTTATTTGGAAGTAACCTTCATCATCAGTTTGAGTCCAGAACTGATAACCCTAATTAACCGTGAACACCATTGATTGAACTCAAGAAATTAATATAATACTGAACAAATGCATCACTGGGTTCAAACCAATGCTCGATACTAAAATGGGTTGCTAATAAAACAAAAGTGATGAACAATTGTACCTTGTTTTCTTGTTGCCATGATCCCACATCACCCGGTGGAGCCAAGCCAACAAATGCAGAGTTGGCACGGGACACTTCAACATCATGAACCAGTAACCGTCCGGTTACTAGACCGCGTTGATGGGCAAGAGGATAGTCGTTGGAGTTTAGGAAATCGTAAGGCCAACTTTCCGTTTGTTCGAACATCTAATATGTAGCATATATACCACTGAAGTTACGGCTCGCTTCGTTAATGGAATGATCTCCTTGTGAAAATGAAAACATAGAATGTTACATACCTCTTCCTTGGCATCAGACCAAAGTGAAATGGGATTGTCTTCAGTTGTAACCGAGTTGAGATATATAAACACGGGTCCGAAAACCTTTTTCCATGGCTCACCGTCGCGAAATTTTATTCGTAAATCCATTCCTGCATAATGGGTGCTGAAAAACATCTAAAACAAGATGTAACATTGGATTAAAAACCGATCTACAAAGATGGAATTTCTCAAAGTGATCAGAAACTTCACTGTTTCACAAACTTTGATCAAACAATCATTATATAAGGATAAAGGGTGATACACTTACGGAGAGAGTAACGGGGCCAGCATGCGATGTGAGGTCTTGCTTGATAGGTCCCGCAGTACGAAACTCATTACTCGGAGTTATCATCCAAAACCCGACAGGTGGGTCCGAACATATCCAACCATGAACCCGATTATCTTTATCTTCAGCTGAATATTGGTACTTGTCGTCCACCTGTATGTACAACAACAAACGTTTATGGAAATACGTTTACATGCAAACTTTCATATAAGCACATTCAAACATATACATACATACATACATATATATACATGGACATCGACGTCCTTAGGTAGAAACAAATGAGAGTGGGTACCTCTCCTTTGAGAAGTGAATTAGAAGGATCAGTCAAAAGAACAGCTTCAGGGTAATCTAGGGGTTCACCCCTCTTGCGGTCGTCAAAAGTTGGCATCACCCTTTGCCTTTCATCCGAAACAGCCATGTAACGAAACCTTTTTCATCCAAAAAAAAACAGCAAATTATCTACTACTTTGAAGTTACGAGTTCTAGTGTTTTGAAAGTTATAATGCATATTTGAGTGTTGGAATTCGTGGAAACATGTATTCTCTCTAAAAAGAAGCATTTGCACGGTATCCACATATGCATACAAGTAATTGAAGTTGTTTTTGATTTTAGGCATGTGTACATGTCATGTGCATACCAGACAAATTGCTTACAAATTACTTGCATATACCAAATGAACGATTACCAAGGTGTTCATCAATTTTTCCTTCTTTGTATTTTTCCCCTAAACCAGACCATAGGTCTAATATATATATATGGGAGGGATATTTTTGCAAAGGAAGGCCTTTGTACAAACTATGAAGACCGTTAATTTCTTTTGCTTATTTTAGTGAGGTTTGTCATGAAATTGTTTAATATGATGAAATTGTTTCAAATTAGTCATTTCAGATAGTTATGGACATTATTATCTTCATTCTATTAACTTTAGTAAACAAATTTCATTAAAATAAGAAATATATGAAACAATTTAATTTTTACATATAAAATAGGTATAGCGGTCTATGACCAGCTGATCTGTGACTCTAATAGACCTCCTTAAACAAAAGCTAGGCTAGATTAGGTGTTGAGTCCCTGATGGTGTTAGACTATTAGATGTTAATTTTGATACCATGTTAGAATATATGTAACGTCACATTAGGATGGTCCATGACTACTCAATGTGGAAGTCCAAAAAATCAAAACACAAAATAATTAACATTTATTTGTTCTTACAGTTTATCCTGAAGCTTGAATACAATCCGACCTTGGTACATATCGACATCTGGCCATCCTTTCAGACGCTCAAAAATCCCATACGAGTAGAAACCACTCGATCCTCGTAGGACAACAAACCTTAAAACGTCACAAAATTCAATCAGAATTTCAATAACAAAATGGTAAACCAGTTGAACAATCAAATCATGATCTCTAATTTATCACAAGAAATTATCAGTAATTAGCTACTTAAATAAGAATGATTAAGCTTTTTCAGATATGAACATGTATAATATAAATTTACCACACCTTTTGTCGACATTTAAAGGAACATCGTTATCTTTTCGAGAAAACGTCCAATATCTTTTAAACGATAGTTCCACCTGATTTTCAGTATTCATGATAACATCTAAACGATCGCCTGTAAGCCTGCAAAGTAGTCGTATAAATTAATAAAAACACTATCTGCATGACTCGGATATTTTAGTCATAAACAATCTTTATGCCTTCTTGTATTTTGGTGGAGGAATTATCGAAACCGAAAAAAAATTACGTGACAGATGTTCAAAATGTATATCTAAAACATCATTCAACGTGTCTGTTAAAAAAATTATATAGTTATTGCTTGTACTTTCTATTCAGATAAATAACCAAACAAATCAACGCAGAACTTACTTGTCCAAATTGTCCTTCCCGTCCGGATCACTCCAATTTACATCCCAATATCTATAACGCACGATCAATTTCATCAGTGTTTTCAGATCAGATTTGTAATTTTATCGATCAAAATAAACAAATATTTGGGGTAAGAGAAAAGACTGGCATACCCACGATCTGTTTTTTCGTTTTTATCATCTAATATATTGTTGATCCCGTTATATTTTATACATGTGACTGTGCCTTCAGGACTCGCAATGGTGATACTGAAGATGCCATTATCTACGACCACCTAAAAACACAGATAGATTCAAATTTTAAATTTTATTAGTAGGTTGTAAACTAAAAGTATATAAAATATATTCAGTAATTGCTTACATGATGCTTTAAAAACATCTTATAAACGACCGTCTTGAACGTTTTTTTTTTGTTTTATAAAATGTTTACTGAAAAAATAAATAATAAACACAAAACTATTAAAGAACCGTGAGAATTAATCTTAACCATTCAATTAAAGTTTTTTAGACTAGAAAGCAATGTGGTACGGATATTGATGTTCATGCATATGTATGTGTCATGTATGAAAAGTATTGATATGTTCTGTTTCACATGCAAAATAGTTGTCCCTTTGCATTTCACATGTGAAACAACACATCATATGTAACTGTTTCTTATGGTCCTTCAATTTTTTGTTCTCATTTGGTGTACCTCGTAAAATATCTAAAAAGGGCAAAACAAGGTCGTGTAGACTTACATGATCATCGTGCATACGCAATTGCACAGGAGGGTATAACACCGGACGTCCCAAGTCGTTCCTTGAAGTGTTTCTGCAACGAAACAATGTCTTAAAAAAGTGATAACACAGTATTTTCAAGTAACTCAGTTTCTTTGTCTGTTCACTACGAACTAAAACAAACTATAATATGATTAATTCATTAAAGCATGGTCAAGATTGAGTTATATTGGTTGTATAAATATAAAAAATTGTATAATAACTCATTTATATATATATATATATATATATATATATATATATTATTAACGTTTAGTGGAAACATCACGGGGGGAGATTATAAAGATATTTATAAAATTTTTGAACTTTAGCGACAATAGACCACAGGTTTTGTTTTTTGTCAGTTTCCTGAAAAGGGCAAAACGTTTTTGGTAGGAAAAGTCCCTAAAGTTTGGATAATTTCTAAACTACCCCTTCATATTTTTTTTTTTGAAAATACAGTTTAACAATGTCCAAAAATACTTTTAATAAAAATAAATCTAAAAAAACTTAGGAATTAAAATAAAATTCACATGTATCAAGTACCGATTTTCTGCAAGTAGAGAAGTAAATTTGGCAAAAAAAAATTGATGGAGGTAAGATTGTGAAAAAAATAATGAAATGAAGGGGTGACATCGAAATTTTTGAAAAGACAAAGGGATTGTTATGAAAAATGTAGAAAAAGTGGTCCACGTAAACTTCCGGAAGGCGAGACTACAGTGGATGATTACAAAATGGACATAGTAAAGATCACAAGATTGTGTTGAGACATGTGAAAAAGGTAGATAGAGAAACCTGAGGCTCACACTCAAATATTCCTTAAAATTGTAATCTTAAAAATCTTTTAAAATAAATATTTATATATTTTATTTTTGCAATATTAATTTTAAAATATTTTCTAATCTTTTTTTTAATATTTAAAGATCATTTTGAATTATTAAATGTGTTTAAATACTTTTATAATATAATTAATTATATTTTAAAAAGCTATTAAAGTTTAATTTAATATTGTTTTGTAAGATTTTGAGTTTTTTTCATTGGGCAAAATGCACAAAATAACAATCTACTTTCATAAAATTTTTTATTATAGTATTGTACTTTTAGTTTTTCTTATTACAGCAATATATTTTCAAACTATTTTTTATTAGAACATTTTACTTTGAAAAATTTACCCATTATAGCATTGGGTAACCCTTTGATTTAAATATACCCATTATACTAGGTTTTCATGCCACCTCATTGTCCACATAGGTTGTCCACATGTACTATAATGATGTGACTTTCTTACTACATCATTGTACTTTCAAAATTATTTTATTATAACATCTACTAGCTCACATTGTATTTTTAATTTTAAAATTTTGATATTTTACATGTTATTTAATAAATGTATTAAATGAATTAAAAAATATTAAATTATTCATTAATATAACAATATCACTAAAACTAGTAGAACACAACTTATCTCGATAACGTTTTTAAAAAAATATGTGTTTTTTGAAAAAAAGAAAAAAAAAGAATTGTTTTTTTTTTACCAAAAAATATCATCTTTTAAAGAATATATTATATTTGTTCAAAAATTTTTTACTTGACGTATAAATATATTAAATTAATTAGACTTTTTTGAATTATTTATTAATATAACAATATTAAAAAATTGTAGATAACAATTTATTTAATAAATATTTCACTTTAAGAATATTTATTTTGAATGCAACTTAATAAGAAAAAGTAAAAAAAAAATTAAATGTTTTTTAGATCATAGCAATGAAAAATGAAAATCACTAATAATAAATTGAAATAAGTTTTTATTTTAATTTTAGTTAAGTCATCAAAATAATGTGGCATCCACATCACCTCATTAAAGCCACACAAGCAAAAAAATCAAATGATTAACCGGTTTAAAATATAACAGGTTACCTATTGCTATTATGGGTAGATTTTTTAAAATACAATGCCTTAATAAAAAATAATTTGAAAGTACATTGTTGTAACAAAAAAAAAACAAAAGTAGAATGCTATAATAAGAAATTTTATGAAAATAGGTTGTTATTTCATGCATTTAACTCTTTTTTCTTTATTTTAAAAGAAAAATATTAAGAAGCTGTTGAAAATACTCTTAAATTTTGTTATTCAATAATTACTGCCGTATATCATTTTATAAATTTATATAGTAGAAAGTTTAAATAAAAGGACTAAATATCGTGAGAAAATAAGAAGTGAAAGCCAAAAGAAGGTTAGTGTGTGATTTATTAAAAAAAAAATACATTTAAAGATTATATAATCTGTAATATCGATAAAAATATGCATCTTAAAATAAATTTAGTTCTAATTCTTTTAATTATTCACATATGAATATTTATTCACAAGAGAGAGATGATTTTTATGATTGGAAATTGGTAATTCCCCATTATATCATTGTGATAAATAAGTTGAGACTATTTACTTGATTATTATTGTATTTATAGAAAGATGGTACAATAATTTGAAATTATTTTCTCATATTGGCATTTTATGTTTTGTATCAAAGTCAAAAATTGTTAATGTTCTTAACTAATGGACTTCTAACCAACTAGTATTGGTTTCTTACAATCAACACCTATGAATTCAAAACTTATTGCAATAACCAAAAATGTGGTGTCTGAATGGTTTGAGCTTGAGCTTCAAATGTCAAAAGTACCTGAAGGTTCTAGGTTCAAATCCAAGAAGGAATAAAAATCCCCTTGAGGTCACGAAGGTTCAAATGTGGTGATTCCGGACTACCCGTAAAACAAGTGGTTTCCCTGAGATTTAATCGGCTCGGATAACGAGTTTGGATATCTAAGTTAATCATTATGTGTATGTTTTGATAATTTTTGAAACAGAGTTTTATGTTAAATGCAAATCAAACATCTCTACACTATAATAAAATTGGGTTTATAGAAAGATATATAAAAATTTCTGAGCATCCTAATAGACTGCTTTATAAGCATCTTAAATCAACGGACCCTTTCTAATATAAATCCTATTTTTTTACAATGCTAGTATATTTCAGTTGAAAAAGTACAGTTTGAATGGACTTTATGTGCGTATAACATCATAGGTACTATTTTTTCTCTGTTTTGCGGGCGGAGAGTTGATTTTTTAAAAGAAAGACATGATATAAAACGAAGAAAACGGTATACGGATTCTACAAGGCGTAGAAATCTAGAAACAAACAAAGTAGAAATACTATTTTAACACCAAAATGGAATTATTTTTGAAGAGAATATAAAAATATTATTTTATAAAAAGTTTGTTGATGTATTACACGTATTACATATTTCAATAATATATATATATATATATATATATATATATATATTAAGAAACCAGAAATCTTCTAATTACCTATAAAAATATCTAATTAAAATATGCCCATTAATAACTTGTAGCAGAAGTCATAAGTCAAGATAATAGGTCAACAAATCCAACAAAAAGCAATAACAAGTCAAAAGAAACCTTAAGGTATGAGTACAAAGCAAGAAACCTCCAAAGCCACATACGTACGAAGTTGATCTTGGTTCGACTCGTATCTATTTTAATTTTGATATAAAATCTCTGGCTGAATTTAGGATTGTTTGGTTCGTATTCTAATAAAATCATGTAGTTGTTTTTGTGAGTTAATATGTCTATAGATTAATTAAAGGGTTTTTCCGTAATTGAAAGATGCATGTATTTTGGGAGAGACAAGTGTGGAATTTTATTTGGCTTTCTACATAAAGCTCTCCCTATAAACTTATTAAAAAAGCCACTTTAACATTAAGTCACTAACAAACAACAATAGAAGTATATAACTGATCGAATAAGCTACAAGTCTTATTAAACTTTTAATTGATAAGAATTCGGGTTTGTTTCTTTTAGTACCTGGTTTCAAGTTTTCTAAGAAGGTTTACATGACCGTTAATTTCATGATCTCATGAGATCAATCGAATAACTATGTCCATAAAAAACAATCCAAAGACACCAACGAGATGGAGTATTTTTTTGACTCACTCAGTGGCTGAAGCTAACAAAGACATAATCATATACAAAGATTCCCAATTAAGGAAACAAAATCCTAGAAAAAAGAAAATAACTATATAAAAATCCATAATTGAGTATAATATATGTATATATATATATATATATATATATATATATATATATTATTGCATGCATAATTAGGAAAAGAGCAAAATTTTAGCAACCGGTTAAACCTCACTAACTCCATATTCATGTAATTGCAGGCATCATTTCTGTCATCATTTCCGCCCAAATTCCAGTCTCCAAAAACCATTTTTTGAGAGATGAAAGTTTTGTAGTTTACAAATTAACAAAATTAATGCGATCAGCTTAATCGATCAGCATACCCAAATGAAGCAACTTTTAGAAAGAAAAAAAAACGATAGCGATATGATCGAGAACAAAGAAACTTGATTGTTTCCCTAAAATCTGTGTGAATTTATTAATAAAACGAGAACGATATGATCGAGAAAAAGAAACTGACCGTGATCTCATTAAGCTCCTGGAGTCAGCAGTGAGAATGAAGAACTGAAAAACAGCTGTAAGAAACATTCTTGTGGATAACAACACTTCCTTCTTCTTTCCCATTTCTAAACCTGCAAACCCTCCAAGTATACAGCATTGGTTTCAATAAACAAATACAGTAATTACAGAATAACAGTTAAAGAAAATGTGGATACATACAGTGAATGACAAAAACACTAACCTTGATTAGCATATAATAAGACAAGATTATGGCTGTCTTAATGTCGTTTCAGCTTCTTCTACAGTACCAGTTGCTAAAGAACACAACACAACACAACACAAAACACCCCTCTGCAAGAGAGACCAAAAGGTGATTCTGTGTTTGTGTTTATGGGATGGGAGGGGTATGGAGAGAAGAGAGAGAGAGAGAGGGTAGTAATTGCAAATAAACTTGGTATAATTATAATCCCAATAACACTTTATTCTCTCAAAGGGTTTTGAATATTTATAACGAATGC